GGGCAACCCCGACCAGGTGCCCTGGCGGCAGGAGCAGGAATTCCCATTGGGCCGCTGCCGCCAGGGGAGTGTCCGGATGCTCCCTTGGCCCCCAGAACCCCACGACCCTTCCCTGCAGCCCCTCCTCTGAGGCTGACCAGCCCGGGGGTGGATTCAAGCAGAGGGCTCTGGTTGGGGCCTGCGAGGAAGTAGGGCCCCATGGCAGCAGGGTGCCGATGTCTGCCCGGCAGGGAATGGGCGCACTTGGCTGTCCCTGCTGGATTCTGTGCCGTGGGGAAGGACTGAAAAAAGCATGCTGGGGAGGCTTGGGGATGCTAGCACAGGGCTGCTCGGGGCCGCCTGGACTCCCGGGTCTGGTCCCAGGCCTGTTCTCTGCCTGAGCCTGGGCAACGGGTGTAATTCCTCCGTGCCTCAGTTTCCCTCTATAAAGCTCAAGGCTGGTAATACCCATCTTCCTTCCAGGGGCTGGAAGCTTAATTCACTAGTATTAGTGCTGTGCCGGTGCCTGTGTCTGAGCGCTCTGGGCCCTGCAGTGCAGCCACGGGCCTGTGAGAAGACACAATAGTGCGAGGGAGAGCTCACCATCTCCTGGTGAAACCGGGCCCTGCCTTTTGATAAACTAGGCAAATATAACTTAGATAGGGCCACGATAAGGTGGGTGCATAATTGGCTGGATAACCGTAGTCAGAGAGTTGTTGTTAACGGTTCTAAATCCTGCTGGAAAGGGATAACAAGTGGAGTTCCTCAAGGGTCTGTTTTGGGACCCGTACTGTTCAATATCTTCATCAATGATGTAGATATTGGGATAGAGAGTACGCTTATTAAGTTTGCAGATGATACCAAACTGGGTGGGGTTGCAAATTCTTCGGAGGATAGGGACATAATTCAAAATGACCTTAGCAAGCTAGAGAAATGGTCAGAGGTAAACAGGATGAGGTTTAATAAAGAGAAATGCAAAGTGCTCCACTTAGGAAGGAACAATCAGTTCCATACATACAAGATGGGAAGCGACTGTCTAGGAAGGAGCATGGCAGAAAGGGATCTAGGGGTCATAGTGGACCACAAGTTGAATATGAGTCAACAGTGTGATGCTGTTGCAAAAAAAGCAAATATGATTCTAGGTTGTATCAACAGGTGTGTTGTAAGCAAAACTCGTGAAGTCATTCTGCCGCTCTACTCTGCACTAGTTAGGCCTCAGCTGGAGTACTGTGTCCAGTTCTGGGCACCACATTTCAAGAAAGATGTGGAGAAATTGGAAAGGGTACAGAGAAGAGCGACAAGAATGATTAAAGGTCTAGAGAACATGACCTATGAAGCCAGGCTTCATGAACTGGGCTTGTTTAGTTTGGAAAAAAGAAGATTAAGGGGGGACATGATAGCGGTTTTCAAGCGGGGGGGCGCAGTGGTTGGGGTGGGAGGCCGGTAGAGCCTCCCCAGCCGGGCTGGGCCCAGATGAGGCAGGAAGCCGGCGCTGCTGGGGGCTGAGCTAACACGGGACCCCAGGAACGGCCCAGCCTGCCCGCGGGTCACTGATCCACCCCCCTTCTTCCAAGGGCCCCAGCGGGCACTGTGGGGTGCGAACGCTGGCGGAGGGGAGGGGATGTCCAGCAAGCTGCTTGCACCCTCTGCCTGCCCCGGCCCCGCGCTGCTCCAGCGCCACGGGGCCAGGCTGTGCTGGGGGCTGAGCTAACACGGGACCCCAGGAACGGCCCAGCCTGCCCGCGGGTCACTGATCCACCCCCCTTCTTCCAAGGGCCCCAGCGGGCACTGTGGGGTGCGAACGCTGGCGGAGGGGAGGGGATGTCCAGCAAGCTGCTTGCACCCTCTGCCTGCCCCGGCCCCGCGCTGCTCCAGCGCCACGGGGCCAGGCTG